TAAAATCTTGCACTTAAAACTGCCAGAGGGGCATGCTCATTTTTTGTTAGTTTGTTTTCTTTAATTATTAGATGGGGATTTGCTGTGGTTTTAGAAAAAAATTCATTCTGTATGTGTATAGACTATATTTCAGAGAAACAAATTTTTATTTTGTGCTATCAGTGGTCCATTGAAGAGTTCACAGTGTTGATGTGAAGTTCTAACATGCTGATAGTTGATGTATTAATATTTCAACAAATCCTAAACATAGGCATAAATAGTATGCCCCACCCCCTTTCTGAACATTTTTTTCTTTTTTGCAGGAGATTGTTGAATACAATTATTCAAGATAACTTAGAAATTGGCTAATCTAGGTAATTTTACAGTGAAAAGCAAGAAAAAGGGAACTAGTTGGAAAAATGTTTTAAAATTATGTTATCATATGAAAAAATAAGTGTCCTCAAGTTGTCAATGCCTTGGGCTTCCATGGGCTTTAATAGAGAACATGGTCTTCGTAGGTTTCAGATTCATTATGTTTTACTTTAATATTAGCACTACTTTTATCAAAATTAGGCCTGTGTTATAAATTCTATGATTACAAGTATATAAAGAGTAGATTAAAAAGTTAAGACATTTTTCTTTGTGTTTCTGAGGCTATAGATATGAGGACAGAACACATATTCCTGGAAGTTTCTCTTTCTGTGTCACAGTCATCCTTCCGGTAAATTAAAACATTTGTAGTTAATGGGTGGATCTAGTTAAAGTGCAAAACAGTTGCATAGAAATGGACTGAATAAAAAGGCTGCAGTTCCAAGTTTCCAGCCAGCAGTTTTAGCGTGGGTGGAATTTGAGAGGCTGTTGCCAGCAGAGTGTCTAGAATTCCTCTCCTCCAGTATCATCTCTCAAGCAGCATCCAGACCAGGGCTTTTGAGGCTACACAGATCATGTATTGTGAATTATTTTTCCAGTATGCTAAGTAAAACTTACTTAGAGACCTCCTGGACTTTTGTGACCCATGGTTTTGAGACAACTGAGTCAATTTAAAGCACAACACATTGTGATCAAACTGGTGTGTGAACTGGCACGCCTAGGATTTCAGGAGCACGGGAACTATGTCAATGTCCTCTAAGTGATTAAGCATGTGACTAGAACTGGAGAATTTTCCTTATGCCCTTCCTTCTTCAGTAACTAAGAACATAACTTTTAGAAGTTAAAGGTTTTCGTTTTGTGTGTGTAACATCTACCTGAAGAAAATCCACACTGGAAACCACAAAACACACTTCATTTTGCATCTTGAAATTGTTCCTACAGCCTTGTGGAAATGTGATGAGGAAGTTAGTCAGGCTGCATGGTGAGCTGACTGAGCAGAGTGCAAGGCTCCTCCCTGATGTCCACTCTTTGAGGGTTCTTCTTGGTGACTTGCTCTGCTTCCCGAAGCCTTTCCCACTCTGCTAGAGAAAAATATTGGCTTCCAGAGCT